GAATGATGTACAAAGGGCAGGAAGGCAGGAAGCAGTTCCCCAGGAGCGCTTGGCTGGGAAAGGTGAGCAGAGGAGGCTCCTTGGCCACACAGGGCCCAGCTGGGAGGCGACTTGGGACCCTGACTGTGCTGGTTCCTTTCTAGTATGGGAAGAATGATCTTTCCCTGGACTAAATCTTTCTTAGGATGTATACAGCAAGTGTTTATTTCCCGTCTGCCAGCAGCAGATGTATGTGCCCACCCCACACCTGGATCAGGGCCCCAGGCTCCCCGCTGGGTTTTAAGGGATGTGCCACAGCCTTCACTCAGAATTCCCAAAGTTGATCTCGACTGACGGGTCAGTCTTCAAACATCTCCTGGTGAATTTCCAAGTTCCCTGATTTCAGGTCATTAGTTGCCTGTGTACAGTGAGTGGACAGCCACACCTGCTCTCCCTCCAGACCTGGGAGGGGAACCCAGGTGTAGTGAGTTCTTGTCTGAGAACAGCTGGGATAACTTTACTTATGCAGCTTCTTGAATTTGGCCACACTCCTGATCTCACAGAACTGTGGACTCACTCCGTGGGTCTTCCATTTTCCAATGATGTTGGGCCAAAGTTTACAATCAAGAGGTGGAACTACTAGCCTGGACACAGAACTGCTGGATTTTAACCAGCACTCTTCCTTTCACACTTCCGTTGCCCTCTTCCTTCCTCACTTGGAGATGAGAAGAGTCCTGCAGCCCCTTTCTTGCATTCTGCATGGAAGAACTCAGCTCCATCTGTCTGGGTTGCTAGATCCCCTACAGGGATTCTGATCTGATTCAGCCAGGTCCTGGTGGCTGCATTTCAGTCACTTCTTAAAGCCCTGGCCTCTTTATTATGCAAATTTATTCTACAAAGTTGTGTTAACTGATCCCAACTGCTGTATCCCAGGCAGCAAAATGGAAGGGAAAGGTGTTCAGAGAGGAGGCTTATTATTAGGAAAACCATGTGACCACAACAAAGGGCTGAGACCCAGGAAAGGCTGGAGGAGAAAATTACCTATAGAGGATGCTCCTTGGACCAGTGCTGGCTGACTGCTTCCTCCAGCTCTTGGGTACCACTCTGCTGTTCAACCTAAGGTACAAAATCACTTTTTAAGCAGAATTATTTGGAAAAGAAAGCATCCACTGGAGTCAAGCTAGTATGCAAACTTTATCACCATTTGCTTGCTGCCTGGTCTTGTTTGAGTAGCTTAACTTTTTGGAAATTCAGACATAATAATGAACACTAATAGATGACATTTATTGGTCAGCTACTATGTGCTGGACTTTCTTAATCCACACAGTCCACAGTCATTATTATTACAGTTACCAAATAAGCAAACAGATGCAAAGCAATTAGGGGAATTGAATCAGGTCGTCCAGCGAGTAAGATGCAGAATTCATATATTCATGTCAATGTACCTCAGAAATTAGGAACTGGGATTCTCACTAAGGCTGATGACTTTGCTCCTTGATAGCAATTAGGGCAGTTGTGAATCTAAGATGGTGCAATAGAGGCAAAGCACTTACAAGTGCTGGTTATGGGTACTATCATTAACCTTGGGGCCCTCAAATGTAGCTTCCGTTATATGCAGTCTGCCAGGACTGGCCTGGTCTCAACATTTAGTCATTTTCTCTTCAAGCTGTACTCCCTTTGTTCCTTTTCTACCTGGACATTTGTCCTCTCATAGCTCAGGACTAAAAGCCTCGTATTGGGTGGGGGGCCATAAGGGAGGTTGACATAAATTATAACTTGGACACATTGTGAAGAACTGTTATGCCAGTTCAAAGTCACCAGCCAAGAGACGCCGTGCAGTCGGCAGTTAAGATCCCTGGACAACTTCGTACAGTAAGCTTCCTGAGCTAGGTTTGTGATGGGACCATAAGGAATTCCATTCATTCCTTCAACCAGAAAACATCATTTTGCCTACCTGTTCTGTGCCTTGCATTAAAAATTAAAAATGACATTTTTATTTGGGGGATGTTCTTCTAATTTTTGATCAAAGTCAGTTATTTTCGTGTGTGTATCCTCCCTGACAACCTTTCCTGAGATGCCCACTCCCCCCATGTTCTGTTGCTGTCAATTGAATCCAATGACAATGACATCTCTTCTGGGATCATGACGCCTGGTGCCACTTGTGCTGGGCTCACTTACCTCCGCCCTGTGCGACCTCATGGCTGCTCAGGGACAGTTCTTGTGCCTCGTTTTAGCCAGAGTTGTCTTTTCTCCCAGCAGCCCTCTGGTCAGCCGGGGTTCCCGTGGGTTTTGCCTTTCATGGGCTCATTTTCCAGGGGAAATGCCAGAGACCAAGAGTCGACTATAGGAGATGGAGGTGGAGCCCTGATCTGGTGGCGGCTGGTGGCTGCCGCTCTCTGATGCCAGGCAGAGGGGAGTTTGCAGGTTTCACTCAGGCTGTCCCCAGCACGGTAGAGAGATGCTGTGGCTAGGTAAGCGGGTTGCCAACAGTCACAAGGACAGGAAAAGCACTTCATTTACAGATTGTTTTGTAAAGTTTATTTTTGATGCAGTTCTTTAGAATATGGGGTGTCTCCGGCCCTCAAAATGACATTAGAGATGGTAGACGGAGGCAGGGAAAGGAAGTCTTGCCGATCTTCACAATGCTCCGTGGAGTCTCATGGGACGTCAGTACCCGCCGAATCCTCTTGCCCACTTGCCAGATGGTTATTATTACTGTTGTCATCAACTGCCAATAAGAAAATGTGCTCAGGAATTAAAATAAGTCTCTCAAGTTCAAGTGGCTGGGAAGAGGCAGCACTGGTGGGTGTGGGGAGGTGACTCCCATCAGGGATATAGTAGCACCAGACTCTCTTTCCTGCATGGGCTCTGGTGACACATCTGTACAAGAAACAAGGAATTCAGGGAAAACACCAACCTGAGATAAAAATATTCCCTCTGGCTCTTGGTTCCTTCTTTTTGAAACCTAACTGCCACCTCCCAACGACTGTCGGGGGAAATGTGGCAGAGCCAGGCAGGGGCTGCTCTGGGATGTTCTGTGTCTGAGATTAAGTTCCATCTCTGCCGTTCCTTAGCTGAGTGGGCTTGAGTAAAGTACGTTCACCACCTAAGTTCTAGTTTCTGCAGTTGCAAAGTAGGAATAATCCTGTGAGCAGCTCCGTTCGTTCATTGAAGTACTTTATTGAGTATCCCGTGGGCTAGACACCATCCTGGGGGCTGGTACAGGGAGCAGGGAGCAAAGCCAAGGCCCTGCTCACAAGAAGCTTATGTTTGTGTTGGAGGGAAAATAAAATTGGAAACAGGGTAGCAGTGTGGATTAAGTAGGAAAATATACAGAATACAGAATAGTGTGTGGTATGTGGCGACTCCTTTTCCATATGGGAAGCAATTCGAAGTCAAATAAACCAAAGCACCCAGTCTCCCAGACAGGGTTGCTTTGCGTAACTGATTCCTCCACTTCCAAGCTCACTGATTTTTCTAACAGCTCCCACAGTTTACACAGCATTGAGCTCGTGGGCTGTGACCTCACACATGTAGCGGGGCTGCCTGCCTGTTGCTCATTTGACTGTCTTCTGCTAGTGGACTTTTAGCTCTTTAGGAAAGGGACTGAACCCTCTTGCAGCTGTGTATTCTAAGTCCCTGAATATAGTAAGTGCTCAATAAAAACTTTGTTTTTTTTTGAAAGGAGAAAAGGGGGTGGTTTGTAGGTGGATCCATGCACTGTTCTCGGGTGGTTTTATATTTACATTGTTCTTACAGAGGCAAGCATTGGCTTCTGATGTGGCTGTTGGGAAGAAGCCAGAGAGAGACACACAAACGTTCATTTGTCTGAGCTTCTCCCTTTCTGGAGGAGAGGGTAGCATCCATCTTCCATGGTTCCTTAATTATCCTTGCTGGGACAGAAGGCTCATTCCTGTGGCCTGCCAGGGACAACGACTTAATGTTGTCATAAGCAGAACAACTTCATGGGCAGCAGAGAGGCCTGCTGTATCTTGGCCAGGGCCCCAGTGGAGGCGACAAATGAGTGGGGAGTGGCCATCCCCTGTCTGTCCCCCCCTCCCAGCTGACAGACAGCAGGGAAGCACGTTGTCCTCAGTTCTGGCACCAACCAGCAACTCCCTGGAGAAGGACTGTGCCTAAGAATCTGGGGGCAGATGGAGCCCTAGACACAGGGTGGGTTTGGGGTGCAAGTTCTCCTCTCCCCTGTTGCAGGAGGCCCCCTTTTCCCCCCATGGATACCAGCAGTGGTTCTCAATGTCTTAAGGTGGACCAAAGTGTTTTCTGGATGAGCCAGAGAATCACTCAACCCAAACCAAACTCAGCCCAGGCAGACAGCCTGCCTGCTGCCCGACCTCTCAGTTTTTAATAATTGTTGTCATACGATGTCTTGTTGCTATTTTATCGTAAAAATGGTGGTTGCCTGTTATCTTCAGCAATCTTCAAGCTCAGTCCACATGCATGTGCCCGTGGCTTGTGCGCAAACTCGTCTGTCTGTCTCTCTGTCCACCCATCTGTGTGGCGATACCTTTATCTTTTTTAGAAATAGCTGCATAGAGTAGAGCATCCCTTTTTTGTTAAATTACTTTTAAAAATGATCCCTGTTAGTTGGGTTGAAATGTTGTGTTTTCTTTTTGTAGAAATGGGCTCTTCAGAGAGCAGAGAGGGAGAGGGGAAAAAAAAACAACAACCCTCATATATTTTACATTAAATGCAAGCTAGTTTGTTAAAAAACATCACATTGTGTTCCTTAGGATATTTATTAAATCTCCCCAAATATATCCTCAAGAATTAATTTTCATTGCGTTGGTTTTAGCTGGCTTTATTGAATTGGGATTCGGTCCCATTTGAGGCAATTAATTTGAAGAGTGACCACGCAGCCGCCACCCTCGCCCGCACACCCACGCACATATGCCAAGCCCCAAGCCTGCAGCCACTGGGCTTTTCTTTCTCTTCCTCTTTCTTGTCCTCTTTGAGCTATTTTACGCTCTCACCTGTTAAATAAATGATCTGTCTCTTTGCAGGATAGTGACAACCTCTGGTGGGACGCGTTTGCCACTGAATTTTTTGAAGATGACGCCACATTAACCCTTTCATTTTGTTTGGAAGATGGACCAAAGCGATACAGTAAGAAAGAAGTTTATTTTTCTAATATTCTTTTTGCACCTGTAAGGAAACCACAGGGGTCTTCGGAGAGTAGTGCCGCGCTGACAGGCTGACAGCAACACCCTGGTCCTGACAGGACTCTCGCTTCCCGTCAAGACACTGTCACCCGGTGGCAGTGCGTCGGTGCTCAGAGATGTCCTTCGAGGCTAAGACTGTTTGGGCACTGGCCTGTTTAGAGAGTGGAGCCCATATGAACCGAGCCACCCAGTAATAAGTGGGAGCGCAGGGACGGAAAGTTCTCATGCGTCTCTTCTCTGCGACCCTCTTTTATCCCTGATGGCTCTCACTTGACACCCCATGTTCTGCTTGTGAAGGTTTCTTAAAAAAAAAAAAAAAAGGCCTTACCAACACTGTATCAGCCACATCCTTCTAATTCCCTTTTATCAATTATCTCAGGTATTTATTTGGTATTTATGTGACCAGTGCTATCTTTTCTTGGAGAAGGGGGGAGGCCACAGCTGCTTTAGAACCTACAGTTTGGGATTGGTGTTGACAGAATTATAGTTCCTTGTCTTTCCTGCGAGTGATAACTCTGTAAAGATCCTCAAATCACAGCCTGTGGCACCTTGGGTAGCAGCTGATCTGTCCTGATTAGGTTCAGCCAGCTTGTCAGAAATCAGATTTGCTAGTTGTGCTATCAGACCAAGAGGCATAGACACATCAACACAAAAGCAATTAATGTCCGGTTAGATCAGAGAGAGATGTGTTTTCAGAAATCAGTGTTGCACATGTATGAAAGGCTCTGACAGAGGGGAAAACATTCCCACTGTCACAAACACTGAGATGACAGACCTGCCTCTGGCGTGAGCCAGTCAATCCAGAATGTCTGGCAATTGATAGGTAATAGGGCTCTTGATAAACATGATTAAAAATTCCAAGAGTTGCTAAGTCTATTTCAAAGTCACTAGGTTTATATATACATACATATATATATTTACATTAAATATATGTAAATATATATCTCTATATATTTAATTTACAGATACCATATATATATATATATATATTTAATTTGAGGGATTCTTAGACAGCTTAGTACTACTGGATCTTTTCATGCTTACCTGATTACTTATGCTAATACATGCAGGTAGTGATTTTACAACAGTGACCAAGGAGGTAGAGCAGGCCACCAGGGACTTGCCACTCGATCAAAACTTGTCGCTGGAAGCATCTCTTTAGATTTGGATACTGTGGGTTTACAAGGGCATGGAGCCGCACCCTAAATATTTTGGCTGAGGGGGCAGATGGTAGGTCAGACAATGGGCTGTTAGAATGTGTTTACATTCAACAAAGTGACTCCTGCTGCAGCCCTGCTAAGCCACTTCCTGGGGTCCCTTCCTTCCCAAGTGGGCGTTCCCCAAGCCTCCTTGGGCCCCACAGTGTGTTTCAGAAGTCCCCAGGAGATTAAGGACCCCAGCAGTCCTGCAGTTGCTCCCTTTCCAAAGGCTGCCTGATCCGTGGTGGTGAATCATTTCTCACCGAGCAGTCATCCACCCTGGGAGCTGCCTTATTTATTTATTTGCTTACTTATTTATTTATCTTTCGAGGCATGGATCAGATAACTTCAAGTTATCATTGTTTTATAGTCCTGTTTTTTGCTCATTGGGGAATTCATCAAGGTCTACTCAGGAAACTAGAATGAGGATTTTAAAGCTTGTACTAATAAAACAGTCTTGCTGCTCCTCTGTCCACCCCAGCCCCAACACCACTGAGGGAGGAGACATGATCAGTGTCCCTGTAAGATCTTATATTCTCGTGCAGGAGTAAATGCCTGACTCTGAGCCACGATCGCCCAAGTGTCTTTGTTTCTCCCAGCCAAAATATTTCCTGAATGGAGAAGAGAAACAAAGATGATTGACAGCCTTGAGCCGAGTCTCATCAGCTGCCTCGCTGACAGCCTGGTGATGTGCACCCGCTGCTGATGTGCGGACGAGTGACAGTTGACTGACAGCCTGGGACTGGGAGACAGGAAAGATGAAGCTTGCTTAGAACGCCTGACGCGCACTGTTTGTGCAGTGCTCTGAGCGCAGGCACTGCCACCTTAACCCATTCGCAGTCCAGGAACATTGTGCCAGGCTAGGAAGACCCGGGGGGGTCCCAGGGCTGGAAGCTGAGGTTCTTCCTTGATGTGTCCCAGTGAGCTAAAGTCTTTGTATTCCTGAGAAGGAAAACTAGACTTGCCTAATGGAATTTGCATTTGTATAAAGATTTCCCAAATTACTCATGCTAAGTAATAAACAGTATTACTAGATGAGTTTTTTTTTTCAGCCTTCTTAGAAAAACCCTTTCTCTCCTGTCTCCATCCACGTCTTCAGAAGGTCTTTTCAGTGCTAAGATACCTGAGCTACCATCAAATCCAACATATGTTTATCTATTATTTGTTGCCTTTCTCCTTTCTAGAATGTCACTTTTATGTGAAAGAGGGCTTTGTTAATTGCTGAATTTTCAAATACAAGAACTCACTTGTAATAGGTGCTCAATAAATGTTGAATGAATGAATGGGAGAACAGACATTCCAGGAAATCTTATGTAAGTCTAATGTTGGCAAAACAATTTTTTTTTTTCACTGAGATCTCTGGACTTTTTATTACTAGAAGAACTTGATCCACAGTCCCTGCTCTACTGGCATTTTCAAATAAACTCTAGGATATGATTCTGATCTACTCAAGTGGAAAAAAAAAAGTCTCAGCGGTACAATAAGTTAGGAAATAATTCTGCTTTGGGTGATTCATTGCTCTTCCTTTCAGAAAGCTCCTCAGTATTGATCCTGTTGTTCTAAGCACTCCACCTGCACCCACGTCCTTCACTCTCCTGATGGGGTGAGACCCTCCGTAGGGTCACACTGGACACTGTTGTTTCAGATGGAGACCATTGTTGTTACTCAGGTGGCGGCTGCTGTGGGGAGGAGCTGGAGGGGTGCTTTGTGTGACTCACGTGCCTGGCCCTGCCTGGCCCTGCCTGGCCCTGCCTTGGGTACATCGGGAAGCAGTCCTTTGGCTGGAGAAGCTGGCAGCTCCAGGAAGGAGGCTCTCTCCTTGCATCATGGGGTACCGGGAGGGTAGAGGATGATGGGTGGGCGATTCCCTCTTTGTCAGCAAGCCAGAGAATAAAGAACATTAGAGCAAAAAAGGGTCATTTTTTTTAAAAAATATTTATTTATTTTAGTTTTCGGCGGACACAATATCTTTGTTGGTATGTGGTGCTGAGGATCGAACCCGGGCCGCACGCATGCCAGGCGAGCGCGCTACCGCTTGAGCCACATCCCCAGCCCCAAAAGGGTCATTTTTGAAACTGGAATCGTGATCCAGGGAAGTCAGGCAGAGACCCGGCTGGGACTCGCTGGGCTTCATGTCTGTGTGGCCTGTTGCCATTTCTTCCCTGGTCTGGTACAGAAGGGTTAGGTGATGGTGCCCAGCTCACGTCAAGCAGAGTATTGATTTTCCTTTATTCTCTTTAGGCATGAGGCACCCCCCCCACACACACACACATACTGTTCTCTCTTCTCATGACAGTCATGGTCACCACGTGGGGGACCTGTGGCTGGCAGCTCCTTCAACAGGTCTAGCCTGCATCCAGCCCCTCCTTGGTCCCATTCTTAGAAAACATGAGGTTGTCAGTTCATTCTGAAAACATCTTCTTGTTGGAAGAGAAACATAGAGAAAGATCCTCTGAGGCCGATACCAGGCTGGCACTGCCTAAGTGGTGGAGGAGAAGGGGCATGAAGGCTTGAACCCATGCTTTGCAGGATACACAGCGCCTTCTTTCCCAGATGTGCAAAGTGGGTATAGCACCACCATCACTGGCTCCTGGTGAAAATTAAATGATGTAATGATGATGTAACCAAAGGACCTGGGGCCATTTGAAGCACCAAGTCATCAGTGTCATGATCAATGACAGCAGAGCATGCTCTTGGCCTTGTGGCTTTTGGGCACCGAGAAGCTGCCCACTTGCCAGGGACCTGCCACATGTGCAGTGTGTTGACTCAAGGCAGAGGTCCCCTGGCCAGGTGGGAGCCTCACCACCACTCTGCTGGGCAGTTCTGAGGCCATTCTGCTCCCTGCCCCGCTTCCAGCTGCCCAGAGAGTCACCCTCACTCTGCCAAGTGAGGGAGGAGCAGGAGGGGAAAGGAGGGGCAAGGGGAGGCTGGTTAGCTGTATCTGGGGAAGCAAAGATTCCAGAACACAGGGTGAGATTGTGTCTGGGCAGGCAGTGACTGGGAGTTAGGGGAAAATGACGTGACTACTACAGTGCCATCTGGTTTCAGAGTGCGTCCTGTTACCTGTCTCTGAGAAGGGGCTGTAGTCTGACACTGGGCTCAGATCCAGCTGTCTATTGCCACCTGTGTGATCTGAGACAAGTCACTTTGGAAGTGTCATCTTTTCTTCTGAAAGTAGGGTTCGGATGGGATGATGCCTGTGATATTCATAGCAGCCTCTACACCCCCTTGAAAACGCTCCATAAATATTAGCTGTTGTGTTATTTGTTTAAATTTCACAGAGCCCGTTGCTGCTTCTAGACTGAGACCGAGGACAATTCATCTAAAATTTCCATTGATCCTTTAACCACTCAGGTGTGGTTTTTGACCAAAGGTCCCAATAATTCTCTATCATACGCTTCTTGTTTCATGACTTTCCTATTCTGTCCAAAATAAGGACTTCAGCAGGACCACACTCCTCCTGTTTACTCTAGCCAAGAACTGTCCTGTGGGGACTGGGAGGTCATTCCACTCTCAAAAAACAAAAACAAAAGCCAAAAAACCAGCCAGTTCAGGATATATTGTTCTCTGTGCCTTTATTTTCCTCAGTCACCAAGTCTCATGGAGAGTCTGAAGAAGTACACGTGGGCCCTCTGTGGAGTCATCACTATGTTCCCTGTTTCTCTTTTGCATTTTCTTCCCCCGTCTCCCTTATTTATGAAAGCTCTGGTACCTTCACAATATTGACTAAGATTTCAGTTTTGTC